AAGACTTGTTGACATTGTTTAACATAACCATTGACATAAATGCCTGTGGATAACAAATTAGCAGGCTACATTAAACTATGACATTTGGAGGAAATGTTACACACCATTAACCATGCAATATCCCTCCCATATTTATAAGGGTAATACACAATAAATGTGTGATAAGCTTGTTTGTCTAAAGACGATCTCACCAAATGGAAAACATCGAATGAAAACGTGTCTGACATGCATGCATGTCTTTGCTCTGCCATTTGAGGAGCTGACTTATTCACCCCTTTAGGTAGCCAACAGAACTTTGTTAACACTTATTTGGACCATTATTATCCTTTTTTTACCCACACCAAACCAAACTGAGACCATTTCAAAACATGACCCAAAATAAGAGTAACAGAGTGAAGTAGTTGCCAAATGCGGTGTGTGTATTATCCTTGGAGCCCTGCACTTGCAAAACTGACCGTGGAGGTACTCCTAAATTGTTATATTTTACAAGATAGAGCCCTCAACCAAGCTGCTGTATTTGACAGTTTGAAAGGTAGAAAATGTTGCCCATCATATCAAAAGTGGGGGTGTAGCATTGTTTTAACTGGGATCATTATCCAGCTCTCAACTCAAGCATACAGTATTTAAATGATATTATGTAAGTTTGAATGAACTTAAGTGCTAATAACCTATAATTTTAATTTCCATCTCCTGACAACATTAGCTGTGTTTGCTTTGTGCAGCCTATCATTCATAATTTCAAGTACAAGACATTGTGGTCTCTAATGGAGCCCATGTCTTGCTGGTAATTACCCCCAGAAGACTGACATGAAGTGTTTCCCCCCGATGACAGCTTGTATTTACAGGAAATTTGATATGACATGAACACATCATCAGTGTTGGCAGAAATGTCTATCTACTGTTCATTAGCTGTGACCTCTGTGCCTAATCAATGCATATGTGTAGGCTGTGATTGTTAAATGACTAAGGTGAAACCCACAATCATCTATTTTAGGGTGAAGTTTTCTCATTAGGAATGTGGATTTCGCTCCAAATTTTACGGCTTTTCCAGTTTGTCTCAGTAACTGGTAAGTAAAACAGAGCAGTTATACAAACTTTACACCTAAACTTGGTCTCACACTTTATAATGCAGCAGAAAACTTAAGTGACTATAAGAAGTGACCTTTCCTTCACAACCAGCACAGGGCAGATCTGTCAAGATGGCAATGTGAAAAACAGACAGAAAATGATGTTAATGCCACATGGAGGATTTTGAGCGGTGACTCATGAGTGCCTCCCTGACGACTGTTGCAACGGTGCCGACCTTTACCGTGGCCCAGGGTGACCGGCGCTTTAGCGTCATCGTAAACTTGACCCCTGACATTTCCACGGCTGGATGCCACTGCAGGCTCTTTGGGGGACGTTAAATGGGGGAGATGGGTGGAGGAGAAGAAATCAAGAGTAATGGATGAGACATGGTGTGTATGGAGAGATTTGAAGTTATATCAAGACCACTATAGAAGTGATTCCTGACAGTATTAATAGTGGAATTATGAAGATTACAGTGATTATCGCAGCGCTCGTACGGTCTTATCATAAGAATAGATGTTACAGGCATCTCTGGAGATGGTTGAGGAGGGAATGACTCACTGTATTTTATGTGAATGGTAATGAGTGAGATTTGATGTGTTGACACTAATTGTTATGAAGACAGTGATGATGGCAGTTGATTAGATGATTTAAACTACAACAGCATTGTGGTGTTGACTGAAGTGTCAAGAATGATGAGACTGACGATAAGATGGAGGATGATTTCAAGTATTTGGATTGTGAGGATATGTCTAGCGATAGTGATAAGAATTTAAATGCTATCATTAATGCTGATGACAATTTCACTGATGACAATTATGTTGATTATGATCATGTATAAGGCAATTTAATGCTTCATTCAAGTGCTTCTGTTTTGGGTGGGACATACTAAGTGGTGTTAGGATTTTCCCGCAGTAAATGCATTTCATTCCTAGCATTCTGCTGCGTTTCAATGCACCTAATTGCAATCTAATTGTATTTTTGAAAAGGAAAATAAAACCATTAGTTGAAGCATTTCATGTCAATAATGAAGTCTGGTTTCCAGTATTTCTAGTCTAAATTTGTCATTTCATAATAAAGTGTAAACGTTCTCATGGCAACCAAAAGATGTCTGTGCAAAGAAAAAAAAAAGAAAGAAAGAAAAATTACAACCTTGTTGTAGGTTGGGACGCTGTGCCAATGCTCTAGCAGTCTATGGCTGTAATTCATGTTACAACAGTTTGTGTTTTGACCCCTCACTGCTATCTTTAGTCAGGATGGGCATTTAAGGTTAAAATACTATTCGTTAGTAACTAGTAACTATAACATTATTTGAATAGTTGTCCCAGCTGGGATAGAGAGAGATGATGACTTTGCATATATATTTGAAAAGATAAAAATAAACTCTACTTGGCAGATGACAGATACATAATGCTGTTACTGCATGGTTGTTTTTTTTATACATTTGATGAAACACTTTATTCCGGTAACAATAACACTTTTTTGTTTGTTTCAGATGGTAATAATGACCACATAAAAATATGTCCATCTCATTACTGATGGTCTTGTTTGCCTTTGGATATGGTGTAAAGTCATCAGTCTAATTTCTAAATGTCAAAAACACTTCTTTTCTGAGCTCTATGTTAATGTGAATGGAAAGAGTAAAATATTACCCCAGGGGACCTTTGAATTTGTGTCTGCCCATCCGCAACAATTAAAAAGAAAAACAAAATACATGAAAAATGTTATCGTTTAAATGAAAAAAAAATGTACGCATATGTGTATTTCCATTATTCTGCGCTCTTTTAATCATATGTAAAAAAATACATTTTGTTTTGCCCTGGGTTGTAAAAGCACAACTGATATTTTAGTCAGAAGAAACATTAAACTACATCCAACATAACTTTTATTAAACACGAACCAGTACGTATTTTCGATAGGATATGCTGCCAACTGAGACAGGGTAAATGTGTCCATTTTAAAAAGATACTGACATTATTTCCACAGACTCTGATTATTTCAGAATTCTAAATATCGGATGTTGAAACCAGTTTCCTTTTGGTTTGTCTGTATGAAAATATAGATACACATGTTAAATTTTAATGCTAGAAACAGGTTTCTAAAAAGATGAAACAGGGGAATCACCTCTTTTTTCAACAACACTGTGAACGTTCAACAACTTTTGCTGCATATTTCATGTCATTACACAAAGTGCCACATGTTTTGAGAGTTATAGTAATAAGTGATAAACATCTATGCGACCTGGTCCAATAAGTAGCTAAAGGTAAAGGTGAAATGGTGGAGGAGACAGGCTGAGAGATGAAGAGGCCTCACAGCATACAGAGGGAACGTGAGGGAGCCAAATCAGAAAGGACACAGTGAAAAGAACAAGAGGTAAGACAGTAAGAAAGAGAGAAAATGGAAGCGATAGCGGGCCCAGGGATGGAGATAAAAGCTGTATTACATGAAATTAATGGTGGTCCTCACAAGCAGTACATGAATCACAGTCTTCCCCTACAGCGAGAGAAAGAGAGAGCAAGACAGAAGCAGACAAAGGAGAGCAGAGCTGCTGGCCCCCTAACTACGTCTTCAAAGGTCTCTCCATTTAACCAAACTGCAGAGCACCTCTGACAAAGTGACAGAAGAAGTAGCAGAAGAAGAAGAAGAAAAGATGAGGCAGAAAGGTTCAGAGAAGTTGATGCATGGAAGAGAAAGTATGATTAACCTTTTATTTATCTTTCTGAGATTTTGATGAAGTTTGTGAATGATGTAAAACAGATGTTTGCATTGCGTGAAAGAGGAATAATGCGGAAATGTGCAATTGGAGGAAGAAACAGGCATGAATATGATGGTCATGAACAATGCTGGAGCCAGCAAGGTGGGACAGTGTTGGTCTGTGTTTGAGGCCCCTGTTTGTATGTCAGTACAGTGCCTCTCATGCCACTGTATGTGATAACAGAATGTGAACTTTCAGGATGATGGGCTGGGACACCAACACTTCACAGCATAAAAGAACTACAACATAATTTTATGACTCTGTTGTGGAGATAAAAATATACTGGAAGAGTGAGAGAGTGTTAGCTTCAACTTGACCTCTTAACAGTTTTGGCGTCTTTGAGGAAGACTGACTGTCAACCATGGCGGATTATCTGTGTCGGCCCTTAATGTAACAGATGGACAATAAATTTAATCCAGAACTGTGCAACTTTGGTTCTGCAACCAACTTTGGCTTTCTTGTCCTACTTCGCTTCCGCTGGTGTCCCCCTCACAGTACTATGGGATGGCAGTGTGACATTGCTGTACAGTAAATACCCCTGTTTACTCCTGTATATGTCGTTTACGGTTTCTATTAATATTTTTTTTGAGGCATCAAGCCAACGTTTTGTCTAAGACTGCTATATTCCAAATTCCAAATGTTATCACCAAGTTTTCATTTCTACTATCATTGGTCTCTTGAACATCTTAATCGGTATTTGTATCAGCCCAGGAAGAACAATATTGCCCAATCATGACTTAATTTTATTACTTTATTTGTAACTAGTGCACTTGGACTGATTGTTTTACATAAGTCATTTGTTAAGAATTTTGATTCAGCCAAGATTTGTGCTCCAGTGCAATTAGCCATGATTAAGGTTGTGGCTGATTTGATGGACAGGTGGGCATTTTGTTGTTATTTTCCAGCCTTTAGCTTCAACCTTACCTCTTAACTGGTTTGTAGATAAGCAGGAAATTAGACAGAATTCCATTTTTAATACAAAAAGCCCCCAACAATCATTGGGCTTCATAACACCTCTTCAGGACTCACTGACACCACTTCCATGTTTTTAAGGAGTCACATCTAATACTTTGTGTACTTCGAATGAATTTTCCTGCATAAAGGAACCCCCACATGAGACTTGAAAATTAAATTTATTACATTCCAGACCAAAAACAAAAAACATAGATTTCTGCAAACCTTCTTCCACTTTACAGCCCACGATCGCTCCAAATCCCCTCACACTGCTGTGTGGAGTAATAACGAGTGTGTTTTTCCTCCTCTACGTCTTCTTGTTGGCTCGGCTCTGTTCAGGTCTGTTCTTCTGTGAATAAATCTCTGCAATTTGAAAGTGACAAGGAGGAGATTTATGAAAGTATAAGTGCCTGTTTCTAGTGGAATTTATAGTGCAGAGCAAGGGATATGCAGATGAGAGTGCAAAGGGTGTTGCAGGTACATGCAGCTGTATAGGAGTGTATGAGTGCTTGTGTGTGTGTGCTTTATGTGTGTGGTATGACAAAGGGGCCACTCTTAATCTCTCAAGTATTATTATACATGGCCTAGTAGTGGCCAAGCTGCTGCAGTGTGGATGTTAGAAACAAGGGCTTTTGTGGCCTTGCTCTGGTGCAGCCCAAGACATCCAGGCTGCAGAAACTGAATGACAAATGGTGTTTGCATCCTCAAAGCTCACTGATGAGGAGACCTCCAGGATAGAGGAGGGTGACCAGCTGTCGTCATAGAGCTAGTTACACTATGTAGCAAGTACACCAGCTAGATAAGTGTTTGGACCTAGGTCTCAAGAAGACAGGTTCGACTCTTAGAGGATAGTGGTACAATAACGCACAACACACACAGCACTTCAGTTGCAATTGGTACCATATATTGAGTGACAATTATGTACAGTGAAAACCCAATATTTACAATCTGCAGAATAATAAACTAAATAAGAAAAACACTCGATCTTTCAGATGCATCATCACAATCATGGAAAAAGAACTAACAATCCAGTCTTAGGTGTAAGTGACACGGCAGTAGCTTAACACACACACTATGTATAACGCACAAAGTTCATGGATGATCAGTGTCCAACATGTGTCTTGCAAAGGCAGAGTCCGAGATGTTAATGGTCCATGGTTGTAAAGTGCAAGTGCGTATGTGTGGGGGTGTAAAAGAAGGTGAGGGGGGAACAAGGCTGCCAAAGCCTCCTACCAGACCAGGAGAGGCTTTTAACTTGAATTGCTCAGATCAGGCCAGTATCTTAGCTCGCCATCGATTCAGGTCTGTGTCCTTACAGGCGGCCTGTATAATGTAAACAGGACCACATTATATCCAGTGTACACAATAGTTAATAATCATTTGATAGTTCATGGGCAACAATCGACATGAACAACAACAGAATAATTATTCTTCAATGAAGTGCATTTGATTTAAACACAATTACATCAGTTCTTCATCAATAATCATGACAATCTTCTCAGTTTTCCTTAAATACCAGGTCAATATACATCAAGTCATATGGATTTAGAGGCCAGCGTTAGCATTTAAAAGCTAGGTGTGCCTTAGCCAGTCCATATAAATGCATTGATACATGCTAAATGCTAACGCTACAATCGACAGACAGACTCACCAATTGTGGAATATATCCGACGCACCGCGCGACCGACTTATCCCTCCCCGACGCTGGCTGATGTCTAACAGGTTGGAGAATGTAATAGTGATATTTAGACCAGATATGAACAAGAATTCACGAGTACAACGACATTTGTTTGTAGCGACCGACCTGTAGCAGCTGCTCCGCGCGGACAGCTTGAAACTGACGCTACGAGCGATTGGACAGCGGCGGCAACCCAGGTACGTGCGCGATGACGCAACGCTACGTGACCGGAAGTTACGTTCGTATGTTGTTATCACATCTCCAACCCGGTTACAACTATAAAAACTCTCTTTTGAAGAAATCATACCTGTAGTACTCCTGGTTTTGAGAGGTGTGAGGTGGGAAGGTGCAACATACACAATCATCACATTAACTGTACAGTGAACTTTTTAATGCATGTGTTAATTTAAATGACTTGACTTTGCTCTTACTGGAACTATGAGGGGTCTGCAGGTTATCTATAGAGACTTTTTACTGACGTGATGCATTTCCGTTCACCAATTTGGAAATGTGTCCCATTAAAAATGAACATGGTGACTAAAGGGTGAACTCCAGGCTTTCACTTCAGTTCAGGTAATTTCTAACGAGGGTAGATCACCATGGTTACTTATGCAGAGCTCCTTATTGGATCCAGGGTAGAATAAGAGGTCAGATAGTAAGACCAAGCCTATGACCAATGAGTTTGTCTGCTTTGTGAGCTGTGTGCGGAGGGAAAAAGAGGACTGACAGGTCAGGAGGATTTAACCTGTGAGAAAAAGTTACTGATTAAGATCTCTTGACCTTATGATGCAATAAAAACAAAGGTGGTCCCAGCTGTTTTCATATTTGGACTGTATAATAAATTGATGTAGCGTCTGTGATGTCCATCATTTGTGAGTGAAGGAGTTTTGAAGCCATTCAGAGGCAGTCGGAGAGTTGGTGAGGCAGACTGAACCTAGCTTTTGTACAGAGCCGGCCCAAGGCATAAGCGAACTAAGCGCCTGCTTAGGGCCCCGTAGCCAATAGGGGTCCCCCAAGAGCAATCAAAAACAAAAAGTTTAAAATATTTTTTTATTTTCTGCATGTATGAGTGATGCTTCCTGTATAAAACAAAAACATTTTAGTGCTGCTGCTGATGTAGGACGATGATTCTTACTGCCGATATGTCAAAGCTCCGCTACCGTTTTGTGCCTTCTGCTGTGCAATGTGCACTGAGCATCCAAAGCGCAGGTAGTTGTGGATCAAAATGATGTCGCAAAAAAGGACATATCCTCCAGGAGCAGAGAAAAGAAAGAGGAAGAAGAGAAAAAATGCCAAGATAAAGGTATGTTTGCATGTCATGGAATGTTAATCAAATAGATCAAATAGAAGGTATGTGAATGATCAACAATCAATATTATTGGCAGAATTAGAGGGCCCCAAAATCAAGTCTTGTTTAAGGCCTCATTGAGTTTTTGGCCGGCTCTGCTTTTGCATGTGGTTACTGGTGCCTCATCAGCCAGCCCTGGGAAACTGCAGCTTAGTTCTTCAAGACCTGAAGCTGCTACTTGGCTCGATACAGAATCAGTGTACCTCCATAAAGAGCTCTGAAAACATATGACTTGTTGATTCCAGGCCCGGTTGTGATCATTTAGCTGGGTATAATCTGTTCTAGTGTTAACGCAGAGTGTTTTGTTTTGCACAAAATAATGTTTTAATGTGGTAAGGTTCTGGTGTCTGTATCCAGGGGACACAGACCAAACACAGTTCTGGTGGAATTTGGTGGCCGACAGTTACTCTGGGTTTGTCAGGCCTGGTCTGATTCACGGCACTTCGTGAAGTGATTTCCTTTTCAGGGTGAGTGAAGCGTGATAATGATTTAAAAAGTAAAAAAAGATAAAAATAAAAACTTAGGGTATGTTGGGCTGGCTGCGTAGTTCAGGTTTCAGGTGTAAGGGGTTGGTAGTTCAGATGTTAGTTAAAAGTTTTGATTAGAACCTTATGAAAGTTAAATAATCAGGTCACCAGGACTCAAACAAGAAAACCACCTCACACTGCAGACTTTGAAGCATACCAGATTACCTCTGAGGTTTAGCTGGGTTAAAAAGTTTGCAGTTGTTGTTTTAACATGAAACATAACCGAATGAAAGGGAAAACTGTCCCTTGGTTCCAATGTGCTAGAGTAACACTTGTTGCTCACGAGGGCACAAGGCGTAAAAATCAACATTTACACTTTTAAAAAAGCTTTTAATTTGATAAACTACTGTTATCAGATTTCCTATAAAGTTTGACAGCAGATTATCGTTGAACACTGATCATTCTCCAACTCATAAATTCCGATTAATCTCTCCAGAAAGCCTTCCTCTGTTTTCTTAAGAGTGTTTCATGAAAATTGAGCGGGCATTTAAGGGCTGTGGACCCGGGGCGATGTTGGGCTGAGGCTGGGCCCTCAGAGGGAGCCTTGTGACTCGCATTGATCCAAACGCATGACTGCTTAAGTGCTGCAGCTGACAGTGCATAGACAGTGAAGACCTAATTGTCACAGATGCTGTTATAAAACTTGGGAAAATTTAAGAATAAACTGAAATTGATCTAGGCTATGTGAAAAGATACTCAAAGTGCCTCATCTCCCCCAGAAAAATTAATTTCTATCTATCTATCTATCTATCTATCTATCTATCTATCTATCTATCTATCTATCTATCTATCTATCTATCTATCTATCTATCTATCTATCTATCTATCTATCTATCTATCTATCTATCTATCTATCTATCTATCTATCTCCCCCAAATGTGGCCCTCATACTCCATTGTAAAGAACATAAACATTAAAATATCACAATTTTATTAGTAAGATAATAAGTATGGAAATCATCTCCATAACATCTTTATACTTGACAGCATGAGTCTTTTTTTTTCTTTTTTCCCTATCTCACACCTTCCAACCCTCCTCCAAACATGGTAAGACTAGTCCTTCCTCAGACCATAGCTGAATAAGACAAGATTCAGTGATCACCAGTTCAAACCAAACTACTTTTATTTTTACAATGATATAAAATAGTATAATAAAAGAGCGGAGACAGTTAATTTCATGTTAAAATATTGTATCTACAGGGATTAAAGAGTAGAATTAATGAGTGTATTGTGAGCACAGATGTGTTTTGTGGCCACTAGACGTGTGTGTGTTGATGTAAAGACTACTGCTTCTCGAGCCGGGCTTTACAGACAGTCATCAGACAACCTGCATGATCAAATAAATTCAAAAGGTGGTGAAGACACACACGCACACAGACAGACACACACAGACAGACAGACACACAGTACACAGAGCAGCACCCACAGACGTGGCATTAAGGCCTATCTTTAAACATAATAACCATGCCTTTTATTTGAGTCATTAAACACACAAACTTCCAATGTCATCTAAAACTGGCTCTAATCACATTCATCTGTTTAAACAGAGGCGTGTAGAGACCGAGTGAGAGGGGATGAAAGACACGCAGAGTGAAAGAGGGACTGTGGTGAGCGGGCTAATGAAAGAGTTGGCAGTGTTTACTCAAGCTGTGGAAAGTAGGCTCGAGGACAGAGAAACAATGATGGAAGGACTGGGGAGATGCATATGGCAGCAAATAGCTGGTACCTATACACAAATAAATGTGATTTTTAAACAGGAGCTCAGGACTTCATTTAATCTTCAAAACTACTCTAGATGATAGAGATAAAAAGTGTTGGTGTACTGGGCTTAGAGGCCACTTTGACCGAAATCTTTTCAAAACCTTTGTCAAGAGTCCAAAGGATAAAATTATAGCAAGTGGAAAATATATACATATATATTTAGATGCATTGTGGGAAATACAGGGTCCATAACTTTGGGGTCATCCATAGCCATGTCAGGATATCTTGGCCTCAGATGTTCTGCTCGTGATTATGAAAGTGTGCATGATTATAAAAGTGCGTCTTATACTAAACTGATATTTGGTAATCCTGTGACTCTACAATAGTGTTTCTTTACACTGACAATAAACAGAAGGATAATCAGATAAATAGCCTGCAGCAGCCCTCTGAGAGATGAACAAGCACAATTTATACTGGTGTTTAAGCTTTGTTATAAATCCAAAAATAGTGACAGAGATTGTATCTCTTCTGGTAACTAACTAATTGAATGATTTCTCACCTGGTTTTAACTGTTTTTTTTAAGTTCTGTAACTTATGATCTTCTGAAACTAGTGTACATCAAAATTAAAGCATAGAGAAGAATATAAAGCAACCTAAAAAGTAAGATAGAAAAAGTATCAAGTTAAAGCCTGATAAAGAATTAGTTTCCAAAGAAGTTTCAGTCACAGGGTTAATGATAATTCATACATTTTCAACATTATATTGTACTATTATAACTATAATATCAGAATGGGGGTGCCACAAGGATCATTATTGGAACCCAAACCCCTTTATCATTTTGGAAATAACCCATGTAACTAATCAAAGATTATTTACTGTTTGCTTTTGCAGATGATATGACAGTTTACAATAGACCATGGGCTTCTGTGGAAATCTCACCAAAGACAAATCCAATCTAAAACTGCAAAATAAATATTATAATTTAATAATTATTTATAATTATTAGCATGTTACTTAAATAATACCATACTCTACAATTTCACACTTTCATATACATATTTGTCTCCTCACCATGATTTAGATTTTGGGCCAGTATTATACTATTGTAGATATTTCAATCACACTACTCATATAGAAGATTTTATATTAGCACATACCCTAGAAATTACCATAACTGCACCCTACAATTACCATCTTATTTCTGTGCTGTAATATAAAGTTCTACTTCTCTTTTTTTCCACTCTCCTTGTGTCCTTCTTTCTGGACTTTTTGATTTCATGTTTTTCCTGCTCTCTTTCATTCTTCCTCAGCAGCCGTCCTCTTTGTCTTGTGTTGTCCATTTGAGGAGATCTTTTCCCTGACCTTCTGCCGGAGAGAGTGATGACAAGGACGCCTCGCGCTGACCTTGACATTCAGCATGCTAAATGGCTTCTTCCACTGCCAGTCAGCAAACACACACACACGCAAGCACGCACGCACACACACATCGGCCGCCACAGAGTACAGGTGAATGTGTGAGTCTGCTGAGTAGGTCAGACAGTGACACACATGTTGTAAAGGAGAGGAGGAATGACTCCAACAGGAGGTTTTAATACTATCACCGGGAGGTTTTGATAGATCTTTAAGTTTAGTGGTGTGCAGAGGTTATACACACACTCATTACAGTAATAACTAGCACTTTCCCAACCCCCTTTTTTTTATACATACACAAGGTGTATGCTCTGAATAAGTGACGTTTTCAGATGTATTTTTGCTATAGCCTCTACCTGGAAAGGTAGGTAGTTCTTTTTATCAAGAATCTCTGTCTGAGAAAATATTTACTACAGACAGTCAAGAAACTGAGCTGGTTTCTTTGTTTAAATATCTAGGGTTTTTACTAGCAGAAAATGTGTCTTTTAAAACCATAAAAATAGCTCAAACACGAAAAAAAGTGTTTAATATAAATAATCTCCTTATTGTTTCTGTGTGTGAATCAAAAACAGCTACAATCACAAGCAGAGATCCTTCCTCCTCTCTTACACCATGCTCTGTAGTTCAAACTAAATAATATGTTAGTGACCAACAATGATACCTGTGGGTATGACAAGACAAACTCAACACCTTTAAACAAAGGTGATCCCTTCTTTAACCAAATTCTGCAGGATTGCAACAAGTCCTTTTGAATATCATTAAACCAGTGAAATGTAGCGTTATAAGCAGCAAGAGGAGCATTCAAAAGTCATTAACGTAACCCTAATACACCTTTCATCGGGCGTTAATAAGATTAGGCCCATAAGGCCTAAACCAGCTCTTTGAGAGATGAAAAGACACTTTAAAAGATAATATTCAGGATTGATTGTGAAACCCAAAACAGCTTGTGAGCATTTACCTGTACAGGTTATTAACGAACCAAACACTTATACTTCCTGACTGCCCATTCAACAGTTGAGAGAAGAGCAATAACATTTTTGCAGAGAAAAATACTCATTTAAGAATGTTTTTTTTCTTTGCAATTTTTTTTTTTTTTTAAGTATAGCAAGGAGCCAGGGTTTTTCAGACATACAAGACATAATAAACAAACCAAACACTTTCAAAGATAATGTTCAAGATTGATTGTGAATCCCGCCCATTCAACAGTTGAAAGAAGAGTCCATTTATGTAGAGAAAAATTAAGATTTAAGTTATTTTGTTTTTTGCAATGTTTTTGCAATTGTTTCAAAGTTTTTATTTTTATTTTTGCAATTTTTTTTTTTTGAAGTAAAACAAGAAGCCAGGGTTTTTCAGTCTGGCCTCTGCCTCTTGTATTGGTGGCAATGTTTGGGAGTCATGGCCTTTTTACACCCGAAAACATGTTGACACCTGAAATATGTTTAGAACTAAGACCAAACTAGCCTGGCTGGGCCATCCTGTTGCATGAATCACTTGACGTTCCTTCCCACAACAGTCTGGACTTCGGCCCATTGGAAGCCCTGAAAGTGTTTTGTTTTGTTTTTTTGAATGTCAAAAAACCCTCCTCCTTAACCCGGGCTTGGGACCGGCAAAAATGTCCCAATTGAGACATTTTGGCGGAGTTAAAAATTTGATTTTTTTTCTTATTATTATTATTATTTTTTTAAATATCTTTAATTTATTTATATAAATATTTTATTTTTTAAATATATATTTTTTATTTTTTTGCTATTTTTTATTGTTTTGTTTTGTTGTTTTTTGCAAAGTTTTCTTTTTTATAGCAAAGTTCTTTTTTTTTCTTTGTTATTTTTTATTTATGTATTTTTTGCATTTTTTTTTTTTTTTTTGGCAAAGTTTTTAATTGCATTTTTTTTTTTTTTTAACTAGGCAGAGTAGCCAGGGATTTTCAGTCCTGCCTCTGCCTCTGCCTCTTGTATTGGCGGCGATGTTTGGGAGTCACACTCTTTTTGAACCTCCTCCACAGAGAGATGGCCTCCATCTCAGGTGTTTCTGTGATGACCTCAGGTGTTGTTGAGATCATCTCAGGTGTCTCCTTGACTGTATTGGAGTCATCTCCTTCACTGTCCACCGAAGTGCTGTCCAGTTCAGGGAAGGGTTCTCTGATTTCCTTGCAGATGACATTGCTTGTCTCCTCCTGATCTTCAAGTTTGGATGTCTCCGGTAGCAGATCATCCACTGTGGTCTTCAGGATGTCCTTTTCTTCCTCCATTCTCTCATCCAGCTGCAGTTCTTGTTTGTTTTTTTCAAGAAGCTGGTGCTTGGCCTCCTCCAGCTGGTTGCTCAAAGATGATACAATGTCATTGGGCTCTTGGATCTTCTCTGTATTTTTGGATCCTGATGTGACCTGATCTTGAAGTTCTTGCACTCCAGCCATGTCTTGTGCATCATCAGCCTTCTCCTCCAAACTGAAAGGCGCTGCTGTCGTCTCACCGATGTAGTGCTTTTTTAGCTCTGCCATTTCTTGCTCCATGGCTTTATTGGCGGCCTCCTGTGCCTTCAGCACAGTCATTACACCCTGCATCTGAAGGTCTAGCCTGTCGTTAGCACGGACGAGGTCCCATTTAGTCAATTTGTGGATGTCCTCTTCCTTCAGGGTTGTCGGTGTCTTCTTTTCAATGATTATGTCATTTTGTGCAGAAATCACACCAATGAGCTCCTCTTTGGTTTTATTGGAGTAATCACCCATGTTCATCTGCAAAAAGACTTTCTCACAGCCTTCACATCTCTCTAGCTTCGCCTTATGCTGCAGTTCTCGAATTTCACCCTTGAGGGCCTCAATTATTTCTTGCTGCTTTTTCCTTACACCCTTCTCCCTTGTCAGCCGCTTACTCAGACTTTCAATTTGGTCCCACGAAGTTGGCGTCCAAAGGGGAGGGCTTGCCTCCTCTTCTTGTTGGTAGGGGGCCTGTTGGTGAACCCTCAGGCCTCCTTGTGGGGGGGCCTGGTGGATCACCTGGCAGCCTCCTCGCTTTCTTTGGCTGAAGGTTTGTGGTTCTCTGTAGTTCTGCATTATTGATTTCCACTCAGGGATGATCAAAGTCGTTCTTCTTCTTATCGCTTAAAGCTGATAAATACCAAAGTTCTTCGTCTTATCGTTGAGAGTTGATAAATCCGCGTCTCAAACGTAGACTAGTCTTCTAGACAGTGCTAACTCAGAGTACCTCTGGACTCAGGGATGATCAAAGTCCTTCTTCTTATCGCTTAAAGCTGATAAATACCAAAGTTCTTCGTCTTATCGTTGAGAGTTGATAAATCCGCGTCTCAAGTGTAGACTTGTCTTCTAGACAGTGCTAACTCAGAGTACATCTGGAATCCCTCTGATGAGATCAAAGCTCTGATGACATCATCAGTTCTCTGATGACATCACAGCTCTGTGATGTCATCAGAGCTGTGATAATTTTCATCTCTTTTTTGTTTGTTTTGTTTTGATTTGGTTTCATTAAAAATTGTTTTGATTTGAATATCCAATGATCTCTTTACTGCCTTTCAACCAAATATGGATAAAATGGCCGCCATACAGCTGACCTAGCCTGGCTGGGCCATCCTGTTGCGTGAATCACTTGCTGTTTCTTCCCACAACAGTCTGGACTTCGGCCCATTGGGAGCGATCAGAAACTAACTGTGCCAATCAAAGACGGTGTTTCCACTGTTCCCCGGACAACAGGGAAAGGCAGGCCCTGATTGGTCCATGTGTAGATGTGACGTCTAACACATGCTGCGGTACTTTTCAAAGCCCCGTTCAGTCAGAACCGTTAATTCTGCAGTTGACTATGCTAAGTCGGCAGAAATCTTTTAGATCCACAGAAGACGTCGGATATGAACGATTTCTACTCCCAACTGTTGAATACAAAAACCCCGTCCTGGACACAATATTAGGATTCATGCTCCTGTTTCCAAAAAGCAAAACACACTTACCAATGTAAACAAACTCAATTGTTAAAGCATCTGAATATTAGCTTTGTGTGTTTACAATAGCAATCATCCAAGAATGCAGCATGTGGCTGGGTTTTCTAGAGTTTCTGCCCAGGATTTAAAGTTTTTTGAGCATATTTTCAGAATGAAATTTTTGAATACTATATTGGTTTGAATTTAACATCCCAGCCTTGATTACTTTTCTCTGTGTACTTAAGTCCTCTTTAAAGTAATCCCCAGAATAAGAGCAAACACAGTAAACCAAGAAAACCACAAAGCATATAAACTGTCTCATGTAAAAATATATTTTATGCCACTTCAATACTTAGCATTGAACATATCTTTAATAAAATCTTGTTGACATGTTTTTACACCTGGGTGATAAAATGTCTGAATTTGTATTATTTACAACTCTAAAAGATAGAAAAATGCAAAGTTATGACTTTTCTTTTCTTTTTACTCTGTTGCTTGCGTATCTAATTTTCCCCCTCAGAACTTCCCTCTTGAACAGATACTGTAGGCAAAGGACACAGTGAGTTAAATCAATACAGCAGCAAAACCTCTTCACTACCTGAAACCTACCTACCTTTTAACACAAATCTTTTCTTAGTATATTTTTTTACCCCAAAAGCATCAAAGATACAGAAAATTAAATCTTTAAGGAGCACATTAAATATGTTGCTGAAAAGCTGAAGGTCCTACTTGGCTTCTATTACACAAAAAAGTCTTGTTTCTCTTTTTATGCCAAAAAGACACTTGTTTAGTCTTCTTTTTTATCTGTTCTTGATTACAGTGATGTTGTGTACATGAATGCTTCTGTTCAGTCTTCATTTGCAGGACAGTGTGAGATATATCACTACCTGTGAATTTCTGACTTGTCATTTTACTTTATTTTCTAAAGTCAACTGGACTTCTTTGAGTATGTCTGAAACATGTCTGGGGAGAATGCGCAATTTATTGGACAAACTTGTTTGAGCTAACATAGCGAAATTTTGGTGGCCTTTTTTTGACTAATATCTTAATATCTGCCTTTTATTTTTAAGCTTTGACAGTATCTGTGATCTTCGTTTCCTATTCTTAATTGTGAATATGTGGTTACTGGTTTTAAATGCTCTGAAAATTAAGTGTTGCTGGACTAGCCTATATTAAGGTAATGTAATGTGTAAGTGTGATTCTGATGGATTCTTGAGCCATGGAGTCATATTGGTGGTATCATGAGGTGTACACTGTTATGTGTTGATGTTAGTTTGAGCACATGGCTGTGTATTGTTGCCATTCTTGGTCAGGTCTCCCTTGAAAAAGAGATCTCTGATCTCAATGGGACTTACCTGGCTAAATAAAGGTCAAATAAAAAATAAAAGTAGAGTCCTTTTACAAGGGAGTTTGTTACCATAGTCTGTACATGGCAAATATCCAAAGAAAACACAGAGAACATCTGCACCCTCTGTACCTGAAAGACATCAATAAATTCCACATACCTTCATATTCCACAGGAGTCCATATACGCACAAAAAGCTTTAATGGGATGTTTTGCTCAAGAGTGCGATGGCAGAGGAGTACAGGTCATGCCAAACCACCCTCATTTCCAGACCAGGGATCTATATATACCACCAGATGGGAGCGGTGTGAGGAATAAGCAGAGAGGGTACCTAGGGTCAAGTGTTATGGTGCGTGTGATTGCTCCTCTGTTCAGGTCAAATAGGTAAGGTGTGGGAGGCCGTTAATTTTGGAGGCACTGTTTGAGATGTGAATGAGTTGGCTGTTGTTGAAGGCAGTTAGCATGTTATACAGCAGTAACAGGGAGAACAGCACAGAGGAATGGGTTAGAAAATGTCTTTGTAAAGTGATAGCAGAAGGTAAGGGGCTACAGACAGTCTTTGATGGCAGTGTTTAAGTATGTCATTGGTGTGTTATGAGAAATTCACTTCATAGTCTGGGGCAAGTCTTCGCAATTTGAAGCACTTAAACCATCTCACCAGTTTCATCATTGATGCTGATGGATTGAGTGCTGGAAACATTGATAACCAGTTTGTTTTTGCTACATTTAGCTGAAGGATACTATCTGTGCACCATTGTGTGAAGTGGTAGATGAAGTCTAGACAATTTAAAACAGGGTTATGATCATCCAGGAGTATGAATACGGCAGTATCATTGGAGCTTTTGAAGGATGTGGTGATTGGTTAGGTATGGGTACAGTCTTTACTATAGATGTTGAACTGAAAGGGTCCCGGGACACAGTCCTGTGGGACTCCGGTGTTGATAATGGTGATATGGAAGTTTAATGATCATCTGATGTCACTGAGTAAATGATTGGACATCTTTAAACCATATCCTGCTGTTTAAATTAATGCATTTTAAGTTTATTCCAAAACAAAATGAAAAAAATTAGGAACAGCCAATGATCTTTTACTAAAACTAATCATGTAGATGCCTTCATCAAACTGAAACTGTAACATATCAACAACTTAGAAACCAGAGATGATACACCAAGTTACCTTAAACAACAAAGTGTGGCAGTGGTGGTGGTACTGTCTTCCTGTCCTCTGTCCCTAATGAGAAAAGACAGAGTTGGGTGAAAACACTGCTAACCTTCTGCTTGTTTACACTCTCCGCTGACAGGACCTGAGGATGGGCCGGAACAAGGGATGAGAGGAGGCAGAGGAAGGAAACGAGGAGGTGACCTCTCCAAAGTTTACCCAGCTGCCCCTCCCTCGCAACTCCCCTTGAGAGTCGGCGCCTGGGCCTTAATGAGGGACCCGGTGGAATTGTTGGGACGTCGTCTCAAAGAGCGCTGGGATGTTGAGACTGGCCAGGCGAGGCGAAGCGAGGGGAAAGAAGAGTGTGTGTTGGTTTGTGTGTGTGTGTAGGTGTGCGTGTCTGGCTTTTGTCTCAGTTGCTGGAGCAGCTTTTGGAAGGTAAAGCGCCCTGGGAGAGCGGCTGTAGTGTCTGTGTGGAGGATGTTTGTGAAAGTTATCTTCTCTTATATGTTTGTAGAGGCTTGTTTTGTTTCTTTTTTTCTCAGGCCCTCTTCTCTTGCACTTGTAGCTGAAGCGCCACAGTCACTAGAAAACTTGTTTTGAATCTGTTTTTCTCGATGCATAATCACCTTTGAGCCCTGTCTCTTTATGCTAGTTGCAGGCTTGTAGACCACCTACATTATAACACCATTTAAATGTTGCCAACAGTTTTAAAATAACACCAAAAACTCTCAAATCTTTATAAGCCTCTCCTGTCTCTTTGTATAACCAAGTTTAATATCTCTCACAGGTAGGGGGCTGAAAATGGACTGGCAGCTCTAAAAGGCCCAGTCAGTACTTTGTTTGAAGGATTTGTAACATCCCTGACCTTTTCAAGTGTAAATCCTTCCATCTTGATTCACTGACTTTGTTTAATTACAGATCTCCATCCAGGTTTATTTACATGCTGAGACATAGATCAGTCAGGATGCGATCAGTACATTTGAGCAACATATGACACCATATTGTAAAACAAGTAACTTGATCAAATAAACCTTTATATAACGACAAAATTTTGACTAATCTTCTTTCTTTTACTGCACTTTCAAGATTTCTATCTTATCATCTTCCCCAGCAGCTATACTAGGTTCATTTTACATTGTGTGAACAAAGGCTGCATAAATGTGGACGCACTTCCTGTGATGTGGCCTATAGGTTTTAAGTCAGATCTTTTGAAGCCCAACGGGTGAGGGCGCCATAATAAGAGCAACGACATAACCATCTGTCAGTCAAATCCATCTGTGCCTCTTGTGCAAATGTATAAATAACTCTCTGCTTCTTACTCTTCATAATATTTTCATAAATGAAACAGCGTATTCACCTGTCTGTCAAGTCAACCCTACTTACAAGAAACCCCAAACCTTGCCATAGACTGTTCACCTGTTCATTTTTGCTGTCAAGATGGGCTTTTTTAATGGGTGTGTATTAGAGTCCTAGGTTTTTTAGGTAAGGCCTCGAGTGGTCACTTGAGGAACTGCAATTTTAACTCTTCTTTATTGGTTTGACATTTGTCACCTGCTTGATAACCAAGTTAAAATCTTAATTGAACACAAACAAAAAGAAAAAAAACAAGCAATATTCAAAATCTTTAGTTAACATGGTCAAGTTGCATGTAAAGCTGTGTTCACATGCATGTACCTGTTGCATGATTGCAGGTACCTGAATGAGGAAAATGAATGTGGCACTTTGTTACGCTGTTATGCATCTAGAAACACAATAAGAAAAAATAGAATCAAACAACCTTGGAGCATATCATTCACTTGCAAATTTTACAGACCATGAAGTATCTGGTCAATAAAGATTTATATCAGAGTGAAATTCCAGTAGAATGATGTCTTTGTAGATTTATTGAACGATGAAGTATTTATGTAGCCCCCTCTCTTTTTTGTGGTAATTGTGTGTTCCTCCTGCAAAACCTCTTCCTTCAGACTGTCCTGGGACACTCTGAGTCAAAGAGTGAAGGACCTGGAAAAGCGTTCAGTCAAAATGACCACGGGGTGAATATCTCCATTTTTCCTTCTGCTCTTAGAGACAATCCTCCACAAGGAGCGTGTTCATGTACTCTCTGGGAAAGAAAGAAAAACAAAGGATGACTTATAAGAGTTTCAAAATGTTCATCTGCTGTGAGGGACTCAAACAAATACCTGCCTTCTTGAATGTTTCTCTCTAAAGCGTTCAAAGAATGTCTCTTTGTACAACAGTTGATGGCACAAAATGAAAGGGGACTGTGGAGAGGACAGAGGGGAATGACAGCGCTTACTTCTCAGAGTGTCTTCTGCTTTTTTCCTCCATTCATTGTGTTTTAAATAGTTCTTTTTTGTCTTTTTTGAAAGAAAAACAAAGGTTTTTTTTAAAACTCTGCTCTTTCTTTGTCCTTCATAAAGTTGTGATTGAATTGCCGTGACCTCGGCTAGTTTTTGTTCAGAGACAGTAAAGAGAAAAGTAAGAAAAGTAAATTCTTGTACTCAGAGAAAAAAAAAAAAAAGCATGCCACATAAAACAGGTTGGTATGATGGATGAAAACCCTGCAGGCCAAACAAGGTCCAGAATGATACCTCAGTTTGTGAAGGCAGATCGAACAATTGTTATGACTGTGTGTGTTCATGTGGGTTGGTATTACAGGGTTCTGAATGAAGATAAGCAGCTGAAAGCATGGACCCAGCTGAACTGTACATCTTCTTTTTACATCAGTATTTGCAAGAAGGAAACAGCAGCCATAGACTGTATAAAACATACACCAGAGTTAGCTTGTTCCGCGATTGTCTTCTTTACTTCTTCGAGTCTGGCCTGCATAGCGGGGCTCCGGGGGGCGGAGCTTGCAGTTGTGAGGTCAGAAATCTTGCTGTGTCTGACTAGCTAAACCCACAGATCCGCTGATGGGCAAGCATACAGCGCCCATCAGATCTGATCCTCCGCCGCCATCGAAGGAGAAGCGCTCACGAGATTACCTGTATTTCTTGCGAGACTGGACCAGATCTCACGGGCTCTCGCATGTTTCCCCGGTAGTCAGAGTGACCAATTGGTGTATATAAACGGCGCTGTATATAAACAACTACATCCCACAACCCTGGCCTCTTCTATTATCAAGTTAAGAACAGTTCAATGTATTAACTTTTTTTATTTTGAAAATTAACCAGGTATTTTACTCCGTAACAACTTCCGCTGTGCTCGTGCTTCGCTGCACTGAATTGATGCACCATGCTCCAGCATCCGGCAAAAATAGAAGCCTTGCGCATCTGATCCGGCCACTGGAGCCGATCCACAGCGGAGCCAGACGCTGGCCGGATTCTGTGAAATGACACACATTGATTATAATGCTTGCGGATTTGATCCGCTGGCCGTGCCGAAGCGGAGCGTAGCCATTCCGGATCCTTTGGGTTTTGCCTGTGAGCCTGTCGTTTGGGTCTGCCAGAGGTTCACAGCGATTTGAATGCAGAAATACTCAGAATTGCAATTTAGCACATATTATTCTATGATTATGATATGTCCTCTGGTATCAGAAAAGTATGAACATGTAGACAACAAGAAAAAAAAGATTTTCATCAGACTGGGTCTTTAAAGAATAATTTTTCTGCTTTAACCCTAATTTGAACGTTGAAACCCTGGTTGGCATTCACTGGATCCACAATTACAGTGTCCAGTTTTCTGCTTACTTGTTCTAATTGAGAAAAACATGCATGCCCATATGGTCAGGTGTCAATCATGAGCTTGACCAGTTCAGAGTCAGACATCAGAAAACCATTACTTAAAATGGCACTGATGCTGCTGAAGTACAGAGATAATGATGTGACAACTTTGCCAGTCTGGGAAATCTCCTGACATGACCTGTACCTGCTGAAAGCAGTTGTTATAAAGACACGGCTGCAGCCCTTTGCCTGGCATATCCGCCCTGCAGTGCACATAAAAATGTGTCAGGAAGTAAGCCTCAGTTGACACGATATTTGACATCTTACCATGGGTGTGGCAAACAGTTAATAGAGTCAAGACTTTTGATATTTTGAGCCTGTTCTTAAGCGTTTGTGTCGTTGATACTTTTTGAGTTCCACACTCCATAAATTTAGTTGTTCACAGAAGTGAAAAGTTTAAGATTTGGGGTTTTACCTCCAGGCCATGTTGGTATCATAACCTTGAGATCTAACTTCTGCCTGTGTTTGTGAGTGTGTGTATATGTGTGTGTTTGTCTATGTGTTTATCTGTGCGAATTCTTGCGTGCGCCATCAATAGCAGCATCTGCGTCTCAGTGTGTGACTCTCCAGCGTTGAGACTGAGGCCCATCAGGCTGTGCCCACATGCAATTCAGATGAGCTCTGCAAATCCAGCATGAAATTAAATTTACGACTTGGACCACAACACACACACACACACACACACGCACACGCACACACTCTCTCCCCTCTGATGGCTACCCTGATAGCACATGGCCCTTGGTGTGTGTGTGTGTGTGTGTCTGTGTTTGTGTGTTTAGGATCCAAACTCTAACATTTCATTAAGTGGCGTCAATATTTTTACATGCATTGTTGTTGTGATTCATATTTTCTTTAACGCTGTGATGTGTGGGCTGATAATGAAGTCAATCCAATGAGAAGTTAGATATTACACACATATGTTTTTGCATGTGTCTGCTTGTGTGTGTTGTGTGCATATTGATGTCATTTTCCTCCATATTTCTCCATGTTATGTATATTGCGTGGCCCTGCCCCTCTGAATAATAGAACATTTCCTACAATAACAATAATACTAATGGCTACCAGCATTACACCACTATCATGGTCACATCCATTACAACTGTTACACACACACACATACACACACTCACGCACACTTCAATCAACACCAAGTCTGGCCCAATCATGTCAGCCCTAGCTCTCTCCATTTGCATAAAACAATTACCCTGGGCGGACTCAGGGTTCAATGTCGTCTAGACGACATGTTTCACCGTGGTGTCATCAAGTCGTGTGTGTGTGTGTGTGTGTATGTGTGTGTGTGGGAGTCAGGGGGACACACTAGGATGGTTGTAAATTAGCTAGGGTATGGTTGCTCGGGCACTGGCCGCATCACATCACCCTGAGGCGCACGGGGCTTGGAAGGATTTATTCACATAGATAACACACATGCGCGCACACACACATATGCAAATGAGGCTGCCTGGACATACATACACACACATACACACACAAATTCAGAGACACGTAACGGTGACATGGAGGACTTAGGAGAGAACCAATATTCATATGAGGGCACAGGGCAGCAAGGAGGCAGAGAATTAGGATTGTGTATGGGAGTGTAGTGTTTGTGTGTGTGTGTGTTAGCAGAAATACACGCTCACACACACACTTACTCATTTCTAGATTTCTTTTTCTCTCTTTCTCTCCATCTCTTTCTCTACTAAGCTTTCACCACCCCATTATTTTCTGCTACTGAGCCTCAGCGATCAATACACGCAACACACCAGGCATCTGATAGAGAGACAGAGAAGACAATCCCCCCGCCTCCCCTGTCCCCTCTGACCAACCAGAGGCACAAATAAAAGGAAAAGAGTGAAGGAGTGATAATAAACGACAAAACAAGCTTTTGTTTGCTCGCTCCTGAGCTGCTTTTTGTTTATCAGGGTCACCATTCAAGAGCAATTAGGAGGAGAGAGCTCAGACAGAGTCTGTGTGTGTGTGTACAATACATGTAAAACCTTGTTTGTTTGTGTGTCTGTGTGAGTGAAACACACATAAACACATACCTAAGCTGTCCAGGAGGGTACACATTCTGTCCACTGAGGAAGCTCTTGCGTTTCTTATCAAAAAACATGTATTTGTCTTCCCTCTCCTCTGTTATGGATCAAACCAGTTGATATTTTTACGCATATTTTTGTCTTTTTTTATTATCAGAAGAGGTGTATGTCTATGAGAAGTTAAAAATACAGCCTTACTAAGAACTTATGTGATTGACTTCTCATGCTAACATATCAAAAGCTCCTTTATTTATCTATTTCCATTACACAGCTAGCGCGAGTTCTTGATTCTGATCAGCCATCTCATACCAACACTTCAAAGTGAACCACATTTTTACCAAAGTCTGAGCAATAGGCATGTGAAGTTGAGCAATTAAATGTGTGTTTTGGGCTCAACACAAAGACACTGAGAATGTGGCCAGTCATTGTACAAAGCCAAATTGCTCCTGATATAGTTCGGCTGGAGAGTTGCTGTGACAATGCTCTGCTGAAACAGCGTACACCCTGGATGTCCTACGCAACCTTTGTACTCCCACAGACTGTACCAAGTGTCAATCATAGAAAATTTTAAAGGCTAATAACTTTTAAAAATGGAGCTGCATAGAAAAAAGAGGACTTAAGCACAAACCAGTCTTACAATAACTACACGTCAACAAGCAATCGGGGGGGGGGGGAGAAAAATTTATATTCTGTGTATTTATTTTTTTAAGTTCGTCCACAGCTTCTTTCATTTTGAAATTAATAACCTATACTGCAGCCCGTCACCAGGGGGTGCTGTTCTCGCTGAAGCTTCACCCAGTGGGCAGAGTGCGTCTATTCTACATACAGGCTATGGTTGTCACCCTTGAAATGCTGCAAAATTACCTGAATTAATAAATTTAACACTAAAAATCAACCCATAACCTACTTTATACTCTATCACTACTGTGGGGTTAAAATCACTCGAACACGTGCCTGTCAGAAAAAGCAAGTTTTGGAGTAACAGAAACACCCACATTTTCAAAGATGTAAAAGGGCGATGCTAAAGCTACTCAGGGGCCCATGACACCCAGACAAATGCAACTCAACTAAAAACATAGTGTTCTATGGTTAACTTGGTATACTACATGTGATCTGACCAAATATTAACCAAACATTACCATGAGCAGTTTGATTCAATGTCAGTTTACATGCACTTAAAAATCAAGTAAGTTTTTTAAATGAATGTAAATATGTTAGTCGACTGAAATCAAACTTCTCATAGACAGACTAACTTACCTGGATCATGTGGTTGGAGATCTTTTTTTTTTTTTATGTATACAGCACAGTTTAGCTGAAACTGGCCTAAACTTTCTATGCATACTCAAGTGTTCGCACGCCAGCCTCAGAGCCAGCATCAACAGCATAGATGCATAGCTAGAAGCCTAGCTAAAGGAGAAAACCCTTACTGACAAAGAAAGGATGTAAACTGTAGGAAGCTTTATAAGTTACATCACAATAGCCTCTTACTAACATGTTTTGCCGACTGCTTTGATTTGTTATACATCTACCAAGAGACAACCTGATGATAACAAGTTGAAAGGGGGAAGATTTGCCACCTGTTGGAGCAGAAATGGATACACCTTTGCTGATAATTCAATTCTTGCACACTGCATGTAAACTGGGGACAGTAGTCCAGTTAAATGACCTAATCGAGCTCTGGCTTTAGCTCAGCCCAACTATACATGTAAGCATACTGTGTGTATGCTTCCCAGTATTTACGGGCACAGTGTATCAGCTGCTGTTTGTGTTTGTATAACAACCCTCAGGTTGAGGCTCTCCACAGATCCTGACCTGTTGCACCCTGTCCATGACCCAAACACAGTCATTAGCAGACTCAAATCACGATCTTCATGGCTTTGTCATTACAATATCAGAGCAAAAGATAAAACACACAGTAATAATGATATAACGTTATAAGTATACAGTAGAATACAAGAACTGTATTGATCCCCAAAGGGAAATTCATTTATTCCAAGACTTATAGGTCTTTATGAAAGCATAATTCAGTGAGTGCAGAGATGAGATGGGAAGGATGGTAAAGACGAGGGGGAAATAAGGTGGGGAGGGGTTAATTATCACTGGCAAAGAGGGCGCCACGCTCTGAATGGAGAGGCAGAGTGACAGGGGCACGGGATGACAAGCCCCTGCCCTTCACACACACTCTCTCTTTCACACACACAATAACGTTAAAGAGAGGGCGAGTGGTAGAGAGAGGGCAGCGGAGGGAGGGAGAGGCTGTGACATCCCCAACCCAGACTGGAGGATTAATGATGAATAAAAAAGAAAAGAGTGCACACAAAGGAGACAGAGGAAGAGAAAGAAGAGGAGAGAGAGAGAGAGAGAGAGACCCTTTTTTTATCCCACAAGGATGGATGAAGTGGTATTGCAAGTCAGGCCTCCTAGGGGTTGAGATCTATAGGCACAATATGCACACACATACAGGTTTCAAAAGAGCACACATCATCATCATCATCATATGTTTATGTGAAAAAAATAGACAAACTGATAGAAAATAAACTATTTATTTTTCCTTTTATTCACTTGATCCACTTCTAAAGTCATCTAGAGTAAAAATGTGATCATCCTGCACAAACACACACACACTCACACACACATACATGCACAAACACTCACACACACTCATGCACAAACACATGGCATTGTGAATCAGGGGATGCTTAATCAATGTCAGAATTTAATCAATAGCTTGGTCCCATGTGACGGGGCTCCCCTGCTCCTCCTCCTCTTCCACTCTTCCTCTCCTTTTCTCTCCATGTCCTGTCATCTCCCTTCCCTCTCTCAGCCTTCCCTATCATTTCCTCTTTTTACCCTCCCCTTTCTTTAACCTTCCCGATGCCCTAAAGTCACCAAGAAGGGCACAAACACTGCTGGTCAATACTAAACCCCCCACCAACCACCACCACCACTCACATTTGAAAAACAGTCTGTGGGGATGAAAACAGCACTCACAGTGAAAATATTACCTTTCTTTATCAGACCATATTTGGTTTACTTCCCATTTACAAATTACTCCTCTCGACTATATATTTGGATTCACATATTGAGGCTTTGAATGGACGAATTCTGAAAGATTTACTTTTTCTTGCAGACCTTTTCAGTGTTTGTAACACATCACATCATTTTTTGTGGGCGGGGCTTAGCAAAAGGAACAAAAAAAATCTAACTACTCTTGTAGTGAAATAACTATTGCAATGATAAAAAAGAGGAGGACAAACAAACTGCAACGTTCATTTTAGTATACGAAAATAACGTCAGCCCTACCACCAAGTGACGGTTCTGAGGAAGGCAGAAGTTTGGGCCAAAACATTTCAAGGTATGTGAAAAAGATTACATGCTTGGGGCGGCAGTAGCTCAGGAGGTGGAGCGGTCGTCTAATAATCAGAAGGTTGGCGGTTCGATTACCCCCTATCCTGAGTCTGTCTGTTGTGTCCTTGGGCAAGACATTTAACCCACCCTGCTCCCAGTGTGTGTCCTCCACTGGTGTATGATTGTGAGTGTTGTGAGGTGGTGGTCGGAGAGGCTGTAGACGCAAACTGGTAGCCATGTGTCAGTCAGTCTGCTCCAGGGCAGCTGTGACTATTAAGGTAGTTTACCACCACTGGAGTGACTGTGTGAACGAATGAATGATGTATTCAATGTAAAGCGCTTTGAGGGTCTCTGATAAAGCGCTATATGAAATCTGATGCATTATTATTATTATTATAGAGGAGGAAAAAAACTAGCATAAATGTTGGTGTCTTGGCACATGTGTGAAGGAGAGAGTGTGAAGGATGAAGAGAGTGGGGTTTAGGATTAAACTTTGGGAAATGCCAGAGGTGACAGGTTGTGTTCTGGACTTGGAGTTCCCCTCGGCAGCGTATTCTGAACTTCCCCAAAAGCAGAATTGTAACCAGTTAAAGAAAGAGTCTAATAATAATAATGCATCAGATTTTATATAGCGCTTTATCAGAGACCCTCAATGTGCTTTACATTGGATACATCATTCATTTTGAACACACAGTCACAGTGGTAAACTACCTTAGTGGCCACAGCTGCCCTGGGGCAGACTGACTGACACATGGCTGCCAGTTTGCGTCTACGGCCTCTCCAACACTGGGAGCAATGTGGGTTAAGTGTCTTGCCCAAGGACACAACGTATAGACCAAAGATACGGGGGAATTGAACTGCCAACCTTCCAGTTTTTGGACAACTGCTCTGCCTCCCAAGCTACTGCCACCCAAATGCCATGGCAATAAAGCAGAGCAACACTTCATAAAAATGACAAACACTTCCCTTATGAAGAAAAAAAATGAGAAAAGAGGCCTGATTTCAAAGTATGTGAGTTGATTTAGGTTGAAATCTCAGGAAGAGAAGTAAAAAGTTGTCAAAATAAAACTAATACGTGGATAGATAAAGTGCAGAAACAGAAAAACTTTACCCAATTGTCAACAAAAAAGTCATATTTCCTTACTCATACTGTACATAAACTGTGAGTACTGCTGTTTTTGTTGATGTGTGAAGCAGTAAATGTAATGCAGGACATACAGTATTTCTGCAAAACAAGATACACACATCATAGAAAAGTACTGATGTTCTACCCATACATTTCAGATGAAAGTGTGAGTGTCTGTGTGTGTGTGTGTGTGTGTGTGTACTCTTACCCTGTGATATACAGACAAGACAGTACTGCCTCTCTCTGTCATCTCCTGGGAAAAGCAGCTTCAGTATCCCTACACACCCTCTGCCTGCTCACACACACACACACACACACACACACACACACACACACACACACACACACACACACACACACACACACACACACACACACACACACACACACACACACTGCTGAACAATCACAGAGATGTATTCCTGCAGTGAAGCCCCATGTTCCTGTTGGGACATGCTAATACTAAGCTCGTGTGTGTCTGTGCTTGTCTGTTTGCGTATATATGTGTGTGTTTTCACAACACACTTTGGACATCAATATTGAGGCACACACAGAGTTGCTGGCAATAAAGTCGTGTTATTAAAAACCCTCATGTTATATGTGAGCCTAATGTGATTTTAGTGTAATGGCTGCTTATGAAGATGTAAATGCTGCTGTGTGACTACTTTACACGGCTCTTATTGTTGTGCTGTCTTTAAGCGACAGAGAAATAACCTTTTTTTGTGTGTTTGGAACAAATAGGTTCCCGTGTGTTCATAAACACAGAGTTTCCTGCAGTTATGAGCTTTCTGATAATGTGTGTAATGTTGTTTCAAAGCTTTACCCAGCTTTGGTTTGTTTTTATGTACAGGCTGTTTAGGGTTTCTAGCCCTCATGTTACTTACAGGAGAATGGAAATGGAGGGGTCTCCTTTTTTTGTTGGTAAAGTTTTGATAGTTATTCTGATGATAAATTCAGCAGTATCCTGTACAGGGTTAGCTGAGAGGAAGAAAAACAGAGAAAATCCACAACACAAATTCACAAGCAGGGAAAACACCATCACTAGGATGGAACTGATTGTTGTTATTGGTTATCGGTTGTGAATAATCTATGGAAAAAAATTTAAAAGTGGCTGTTTCTGCAGCTACTCACCCAGCCCCTACCCCGCTTTTAGGCATGGAAAGTTACACAATATAAAAGCTGATAATCTGGTTTACTTTTGTATATCATAAAATTAAATCAATTTGAATTTCAGTTTATTCCACTGGTTTGAAAAGCTCTCACAGCGGTTGTAAGGTTTTGAACTAACCTGACTTACACACTCTGACCCTGTGTGTTATTTATTGGTGTTGTTGTGCCCTGCTTGGGTCAAATGGGGACACAAGAAGTAAGAAACCTCTGATGCTGAATAGGGCTGTCTTAATTTACCAGTATTCATGATTTAACAAATAAGAGATTCTCATTATGCAAAAATAAGACATCATAAATTATCGTAAATTTATTGTAGTAGCATTCACATTGGTCGCCACACCATGAAATGAAGGATAGATGAAGGAGAAGTCACAGCTGCTAGCAAGCTAGCTGAAGCAGCCCTCCAAGTGAAGATATAGCTCTGTAAAAACTGAAGTTCGAGATTCATTTTAAATCTGGAAAAATATTAAAGCTTGTGCCTGTTTGGGTTAGTAATCAGCTGAACATTTGTGCTTTCTAACAGTTCTTTGAATGGTTTTCATTCAGTTTTGTAACTTATGATCATGTAGGAGTGGTATACCTTAACGTAAAAGTACAGACATTTATAATATGAAAATATTTTAAGAAATGGATGGTAATATTTTAATCAAAACAAAAGCTGCCATGCCCACACAGTCTTGAGAAAGGCTTAGGTTTGAAATTAAGCTGTTTTTTAAAAAGTTTTAGAATATTCAGATTTTTTTTTTTTTTTTTTTTTAAAGTTTTATGGTGATGCCTAATAGCATATTAAATATGTTTTTTCTGTATGTTTTATATATTTTTTTATCTTGCCTAAGCCAAAAAATAATAAACACAAACTATCGTACTGTTCTGCCTCTTAAGTGTTAACACTGCTGCACACCTTACTGTACTCTCCCATTTTTCTGGTCCCAGGTCTGACTAACCAATCAGGAGTGTGAGAACGGTGAGAGTAACTCACTTCTTTCAACTTTATATAAGCCAACATGTCTGTGTCCCATTTTCGAACAGCAAAGTTTCTTCTTAGTTTCAGTAGAGGAGAGAGGGTAGGATAGAGGAGGATGTTTGGAAGCAGTAATGTAATGAGACATGTTTGGAAGCTGACCCTCTCTTTTTTTGGCTTCCTTGCGCTCCCAGCACACAGCAGGTGTTACAGGGAGTCTGTATATTTGGGTTCAACATAGCCACAAGGAACACTCTCCCCTCCGTCTGGCCTGGGTGAGTCACAGCGAAAACCAGGAGATGATACACACAGGACACACAAACAGCACACATACACACACACACGCAAACCCAAATGCAGGAAAACAAATGTAGGTTCAGTTTTTGGCTTACCACAGGGAGGACAAACAGTGAATAAATGGAGGTACTGAAACTCAGAGGAAGTAATGTACTGAAATGAATAAGTATTACACAGTAATTGGAGCTGGTGTTAACCTAACAGCAGCAAAATCACACTCACTTTATCTGCTCAAGCTTCCAACTCCACCTCTGATAGTAGTCTTAGTGAAAAACTGAGTCAGCACAGGTCTTAATTTTATACCTTAGCTTCATGCTGATTTACTGACCTGACTTTCACACACACCAAAATGTTAACCTTTGTCACATCATCCACTCAGTTAACCTGCTTTTATTCTGAAAGAGCCAACACAGATTTCAACACTAGTTCAACTATTTTTTTAACTACTGAAACTTGCAATAAAGTTTGGGTTAGATTACCATGATTACTACCATATTTGCCTTTAGCAGCAGCAGCAGCAGCAGGGGTTGACAGGGTATTTTCATCCTGGATACAGACAAAAGAGATACTCTTTGGTTTAATTTGATTTAACAATGCAGATGTTTTTGGCCATTGAGACTGGTCATGGATTGGTCCCCCTTGCAAGAAACTGAAGCATTTTTCAGCATAAATTTAATTTGTTTCAAGTTTAATTTTTTTGACTTGCACGAAGACCTTCCTTTGACAGAGGATCTTGTTTTGGTAAAAACTGGAAAATGGAGGGTTGTACTGATTGTGCGTCACTGGAGGGCGGAGCGAAGACCAACGTGACTGCAAGGTATTACAGTTCCAGTTCGACACACTGTACTAGGGATGGGCGATATGGGCTGAAAAAAAATTATCACAAGTTTTAACATTCTGCCGATAACAATAAAAGTCTCAATAAAAAAAAAAAAAATCCTATCTATGTTTTTGAGTCATTCTGTCCTGAATTCACCACAATCATTGTTCTTGGATGGCACTCACCAGTTGGAGTAGTCAAATAAGATACTTAACCACAAGTTTAAGTGGTGGGTTATAGAGAAAACTAGTGACATCAAACAAGTCTGAAATATGAAAACACCTTTAACATTAACATACCTGATTGCACTCATCTAAACCCCAATCTTGAAGGAAATCCCTCGTATGGAGCCTTGTTTAGCAACAAGCTGTTCAGGGACATCTTCATTACCTTCGGCCATGTTTGTTTGTTTGTTACTCTGATCTGTTTAGGCTACGGCTGCGAGTCCATCACTCGCGCTTACGTCATCAACTTATATTTATCACTTTTATCGTGAGATGGCAAATATTTATCATGGAGGAATTTCCTGATGACATATCGTGAACGAAATATTTATCGCCCATCCCTACCCTGTACCTTTAGTAGAGCTGGGTTTTAAACTTAATCCCTTGATCCGAACGGTACTGGGGTGCAGAACAAGCAAAAAAAGCAGAACTCCAACAAGGGGGAACATTACACTTGATCTGAACTGTGTTTTATTTTCAATCCTTGCTATGTGGAGGAATTGTTTCACACTACTCATGAATTAAAAAGTCAATGCTAAATAGGAGCTATCTTGTGTTCCTGTGTATGTCACAAGGGTAGCAATGTGGGCCACGTCAAAGTTGCAGTGTTTGGCCATCTTTGGAGAAAAAAAAGCATTCAGCATTTATTTTTTTTCTCCAGAGTATGAACTTTTTAGATATCAGAGAGAGAAATGCATGTTGGAGTGTTTGAACATGTATGGTACATGGGCCTTCCACATGCCTGCATGGTGACCGTCCTGCAGCTCTCTCCCTCTCTGTCTCTCTGGTGTCAGAATAGATTTAGAAATAGGCAGAAGGAGAGAGAGAGAGGTAGAGAGAGAGCGTGAGGTCGAGTGAATGTCTGTATGGGCTATGTGACCTGTCAGTGGTTATGTGTCTATGAGTGTGTGTATGTGTGTGCACGTTGTAGCATGTTCATGAGTGCACATCCATGTGTGTGTGAAAGTGTGTGTATATGTGTGTGTATGCATGTGACTAGGCCGCCCTGAAGCAGCAGATTTGATCTTTGCAAAGGCTAACATCTGTCGCCTGTCATTTTAGCAAGATTGATGACAGCTACCAGAATGGAGGGGAGGGGAGGAGAGGGAGAGTGAGGGGTGAGGCAATGTCTAGGACAGTGGGAGAGGAGGAGGAGAAAGGGAGACAGTAAGGGCCGCTAGAGGTGGAGCCCTGCTGGTCATGGACAGGTCATGGTAGGGTCATGTAGAGAGAGAGAGAGAAGTTTCTCTATCTGCCATGTTGGGTTGGAGAAACATGGAGGAGGTTGTTGATTCTGAATTCAGGTCAGTTTTCTTTAATTAGTCGAAAATTTAGTGAGCCATCATCCAGCACTTTAAGTTCACTTTAAGTTAAGTTCATTTTTGTTCTGCATTTTGGGTCCTTCCCTTTTTGTTTCTACCTGAAACTTGACATGAGCAGTAAATAAACCTGTTTTGATTGAAAAATACTCCTCAATAAGTAGCAAGTCAACAGCATACGTTGGTGGTACAGGCTACTGTAGGTTGATACAAACCGTTAGCTGACAGGATGATGTGAAATAATGGCATTTGTAAAAGCTACACAGCTAACTTTGATGAAAAAGCGTCAAAGCCTGTATGTTGAGCAAATATGGGGAAATATGTTAATCTAATATGTTAATATGTTAAATAAAGTCTTTGTATGTTTTTTTGTTTGTTTGTTTTGTAAAAAAATGTGAATCAACGTGGTCTTATCTGTTTGTTTTGTGGGTTGTTTTTGAAACATGAGAAAAAATGAACTGAAAAAAGGCATGTTGGCCTGCAGCTCTTGTTTTTTTTTTTATTTTTTTATTGTGTTTAGTTGATTTATATCTTACGAAAGAGGGGCAGACTTTATAAGATATTTCTACTTTATGCTCCTTTTCATTCCTGTTAGAGATTTTCTCTTGTTTGTATTGAATGTTTTAGATATTAACTGAATAAAATAAAGTATGAAAATGAATTCTATGAAAGTCTTCACTGAGGAAGAACATCCGAAATACAGACTGCCTCTAATGCACTGGTAGGACTTTAATGGTAAGTTGTGGGGGAATCAAGCGATGAGCTAGGGCCAGCTAAATTGTTACCAAAGTGATCCAGCTCTCTTTTGTCACCGCCCTGGTGATCTTTAGTTAGTCTTTGTATGTTGGTTTGGTCTGAATATTGATCAGTGAGTGTAAAAAAAGAAAAGAAACAGATACATGAGAGTCCTTTGAAACACTCTGAATGACCTGCCCCTGTCAGCCAGCTCTTAAAGAGCTTTAGCCACTAGCAACTAGTTGGATGGAAAAGAAAAAAAAAAGAGGAGATGATTTACAACTTTATTTTGCAATCATTTTTTCTCTGTTCTCTTTTCATTTTGCGCTCAGTGTGTCCACAGGGATGAATCCCTGACCGCTGTATGCACAGCTGGCAGAAATAAAAAAGTGAAAACCTAATTAACTCCGGAGTGGAGATATTATCCAAACAGACAGAAAGAGAAGCTACACTCGTTTAAAGCAGTCAGCGTGGGTCATGCTCCATGAATTATTCAAGCTGGCCGCCAGTTTGCAGAGCGAGTTTTAAGTGGACAATGACCCTGTGCACACTCATTTAGCCTGCGCCTCGGCTAACAAGGCTAAGTATACACCGACTCTCCACTATCCTCCACTAACAAGCTAATGGAATTTCAATCAAGAGGATGCACTGAATGGCTTAACATGGGTGAGCCACGCTCTGGCCCTCCACACACACACACACACACACACACATCCACGCGCACAGACACATATCAATATTCAATTAGATCTGTGGGTTTTTCAGCCTGGCCTTGTTAAGTAAGAAGTTGTGGAAAGAGAAAGCTTGCAGAGGCCAAAAGGCTACAGATCCAGCTAGAGGTCAAAAACTTAAATAGAAGTCCATAACTTTCTCTGTAATCACAACCTTGGCTCAGCTAAAAAGCACAGTGAAGCTGCTCATAGCGTTATATTCAAAAATAAATTCAACAAAAGGTTGCACACTCACCGGATAAGAAACTACTTTAAAAGATATATGTATAAAAACTCAGAACTCAAGAGCCATGGTGGTTCGTTTATGTATAATTATGTATAAGTCAATTTAAATAAAGTTGGTGTTAGACGAGACGTTAAACACAATTAGGTTAGTGCAACTTTTACAGTAAAAGACTGTTGGCTTTTCTCTGTTAGTCTGAGCTGATTTCAATGTTGGGGCAGGTTTGTGATGTACAACACATGATGAGGCGTGAGCATAGGATGGGAGGCGGGGGGGCGCAGACTCACCTGCTTTAAGTACAAAGGAGATGTAGCAGAGTCCCAAGCGGTTGAACTTAGGACCAGTGTACAACCTCCTTCATCAAGATGCTGCACGCACAGCATGGCAAGTGTCAATAAAGGTAGCCTACTATTTTGCCAAAGCCACTCAGATGACCAAGCAAGCAGGACAAGCGTCCTGCTTCGCCCAACCGGCGACAAACAGTTACTACAGGGAGAGAGGCTCACACACTAAGGGTCCTACACAACGTCACACACACACAGAAGAGATCTGAAGTAAACATCGGTATTAACTGTATAAACTTCATCTCCAGAGTCTCCCTCGTTAACACACCTGTCAGTCCCTCTCATCCACATAGACACCTGTGTTCAACAAGCTACAGCTTTCTGTATTGAACCACCTTTGGGGGGGCCCAGCTCGCAAAAAGGTTGAGAACCCCTGCACTAAATCATGAACCTTCGTCATACTTTCATGCTGACCTCCTAAACCCATTCAGTGTTGTCTGGCTTAGGTGCAACTGTGGAGGCAAAATATCCCAATCTGGCAAAATCTGAACTTTAGTCAGAGCTACAGGAAAAGATGGGGTCTGGGATTGTATATCTGCAGCATACAAACAACTGTACATACATCTGCACACATTAATGTAACGTATGTGTAACATGGGGGGGGGGGGGGGGGTTAAAGTGTTAATGAATCAGATTTTTTAAAATCAGGAAGTTAGTGTGAGGATGCTGAAACAACAGTGATATGATAATGTAAGCTGGTTCTGGTTGACTTCTGGACATTTGGGGGACTTCTGGTTCATGCACATACCTTAATCAGGGTTGATGATAAAAAAAAAGCATGTACCTTCAGCTCAGACCCATTAAAGTTATGAGATCATAAAAATATCAGATTAGAAAGCTGGATGACTTTTTTACTTTCAAGAAAATGAGTCATGGGGATTGTATTTTGTTGTTGTGAAGTTCTTGTTCCCAAAATATCGATGCTCACATCCACAATAAAAGTTGTGAACTGTATTGTAACTTTTAAAGGGGTGTTTCCCTTTTTTTTTATTACAGACAGGTTAATCACTTGACTGAAAGTCATTCTTGCTACAGCGCAGAGATTCAGAAAGTGGGTGAGACTGTTAAAAATAACTTTTAAGTCACTGGTAATCATCTAACCCTCTTGTTCAAATCTTACTCTGCATACTAATTATAGAGCTAATAAGACTGAGCCTCTAATGAAGTGGAAACATCGTTTAAATCATTCAAAGTATAAACTCGCGCAAATTAAGCTGGAACAACTTTCGAGGCCTCTCTGTGTGAGTGATGTGGGATTTTTTTTTTGTTGTGACCATGCACCAGAGATACCTGAAAAAAAGAAACACAATTAGCTTGGATTCATTTTCCAAACTGTTGCAGCGCCTTAATTTCAGAGTTCATCGAATGTCAAATGAAAAGTCCTTGTAGCATCGCATTATAGGGGAATGTCAATCCCATCTCATGTGCCAAACTAGTTGATGCGTTCAATTGAACATCTAAAAAAAATGGGAGAGGGACAAAGAGGAGGAGAGCTTCTTTCCAATTGGCTATGAGAAACAAAAGCCCACTCAACCTTGTTGATAGAAATTGCACTTGAGAGCAGAGCTGGCGAGTGCTACAGTAAATACTGATTAATTTGAATTCCTAATGAATAGACGCTGAGTCTGAGAGAAAGGGATGTATTGAAGGAATGTGGCGTGTATTCTTCACAGAGGTAAAAAAAACAAATGGAGGAATAAAGGAGGGTGAAGAGGGGAATAATTAATTAGTTTTCCAGAGTGAAGTGTGCATTCAAAATGAAGGGCACACTGACAAGGCTTGCGCGCACAAATGTTCAAGAAGGACAAGGTGTGCAACAAAAGTTAAGCAGAAATCAAAGTCCAAGGTCCGTTCGGTCTGTGCAAAAATGCCCCGTCAGTGTCATCACTCAAGCTTTTTCTAAATACTTTTCAAAGCTTGTTTAGCAGCAGAGCAATAACACCTCCAGTGACGGGGAAAGAAAGAGTAAAATATGCAGAGGGAGGTGTAAAGACGTGTGAATCTTGGTGTCATTTCACTTACAGTCTTGTCAGTTATCTTACAGTCATGTCTGGGTGTTATTTAGTGGGGACATACTGTACTGACAAGTCTTTATCATTTAACATAATGTCACAGGAAAGCTGGTTTGTCTTTTAGCGCCGCACTCCACCGTCTTCATGCTCTGTGTTTGTATTTTGTCCCGTTCTCCATTGTGCCACACAGGTATACCGTTGTGTCTTTTTGTGTGGAAGAAAGCCTTGACATGACATCTTTTTCGCATTTGAACGCCTGAGACAAAGGCACAACACGACGTGTGTGCACTGCCTGTCTCCCAGGAGGAAGACGGAGGGGAAAAAAAACGAGGGAGAAAGGGAGGGATAAGGGAGAAACGTTATGCAAATGAGTTTTATAAGTCGAGTCGGGCATGTTGTCGTGACACTGTCTATATTTAAAACAGGTCACCTTAACCCCTCCCCCGCTGTCTCAATGACAGACAGCGAGTGAGGCTGCGCTGACATCTGGATGTTCCACAATTGCAGCGACACGCACGCACACAACCGACACCAACACGTTAAAAAAAAACCAAAGGCATTGCTGGATCTTATTTGCATATTCAAACACACAATGCACATGAAACACACACACATGCACGCAGCATGACAATGGCTATGATATATGTATATATGTAAAACTGGCCAGCCCATTCTCTGCAGGCCAGGACCCAATCATTCCAGCGCGCTGAGCAGAGAGACAACCAGTCAGCCACTCAGCCCAGCAACAGAGGTGACAGAAGAGAATACCTGACCCCGGTGCATTCACCCGTCTCTCCATCCACCCCCCACCCCCCTCATCTGCTAGCCCTTCGCATTCCCTCACTCCTCCATATTCAACAACAACAGCATGCATGCATGCATGCATGCATACGAGCCCTGATTTTATGGGGCCGTAGAGTGGCCATGAAGGATGGCTACTGCCTATTTACACTCCTCCCCTCAGGCCCTCAGGCTGTCCATTTTTAATGGAGACGACGTGGCACTGACCAGCACACTCTCCTCCAACCAAACCTCCATTTGAATAATTTCATCCCTTCATTTGCCTTTTTTTCCCCTTCCCACCCCTCCTCTCCTCTGCCGCCTTGACCTAGATACCAATGAAGAAGACTGACACTTCTCCCCTGACCAGAGCGGGACCCTTCATATCTTTGCAGCCATTACCACACCATATTGGCATCTTTCTCCCACCCTTTTTCCCCCATCATTCTCTCTCTCTCTCTCTTTCTCTCTTTCCCTCTCTCCCACTCTCTCTACTGTCCATAAAATATGCCTTGGCGTTATCTCTCCCCCCACGCAGGAGAATAATGAAAGGCAGTGGCATGACAGATTGGACATAGATGAGATTGCCGCTGTGACTATATGCACGGCTCGCCTCGGCCCCAGCTTTGCATCTGAAATGGAAAAAGGGTGGAGGGCATGTGTGTGTGTGTATGTGTGTGTGTATGTGTGTGCGGGAGGTGGGAGGGGGAGCTGGGTGCAAGGGGTGACAGTAGGCTTGAGGGGCAGTGGCGTGAGGAGGGGGGTGAAGCGGGTGGCAGTATGTGAGGAAAAAGAGGAGAGGAAAGGGTCTGTGAGGCTGATGGGTTTGACATTAGAGGGGAACTGTGTGTGTGTGTGTGTGTGTGTGTGTGTGTGTGTGTGTGTGTGTGTGTGTGTGTGTGTGTGTGTGAGGATGGCTTTAAGAAAAACTAACCTAAAAATGACCCCCCCCCTCAAAATCTGAACTTTTCCTCACAAACAGTGGTGCTGTGGTGACACACAGTCGTCCTCAGTGTGTCTGCCGGCCCGAAACTGACTGGCAGCTGAGCGCAGGTTGAGATTAGGCAGATTACAGCAGGCGAGCTCTGGCGTGATGGCTGAACATGCTGCCAAGATGGCTGCTGTGGCGCGGCGGCACGGTGCCAGCAGGCAACATGTAGGCACCTGTTACAGCTACAGCCGGACATCATGCTTATCCACGGTGCCAACAACTGCTGCTACAGCGGGGGGTGAACAGGGGCAGGAGGGGAGTGGGCTGTTCTGCTCTGATGGTGATAGCCTCTTAGTACAATACAACTGCTGTCTACTTACACAGGATTTAGGATAAACTGAACGTGAAACACGATATTCATTCAACAGCTGTTCAATAAATCATAAAAATTGAAGAGCTTTTTTTCTAAAATGTGCAGTTTTACTTAAGAAGCAAAGAAGTAAAATAAAATAAAACTGATACATCATCAAAATTATTAGAGGTACAGAATTCATACTCTGTATCTTACAAATTGGCCTTACTCTGATTTAATTATATGTTAATGTTGATATAAAATGTGTATGTTCTTCTTAATCAAAGGTTTTTATTTGATTTCACTAAAGGAAAGTGTAATGAAACTTATCCAAAGATGGCGGCGCTCACAAACACTACAACTCTGAGCTCTCCCTTTATAGGTGTATTTTATTTCTACCTTAATTTCGTACAATGTACAATGACAATAATTCGATGATTCTGATTATTGGCTTACATAATAAACAGGCACCCTTCTATATTTTTAACATATAATTACACATTTCTTTTTTAAATTTGCGGCAAATTCAATTTGCTTCCCTCAAAACCTCAACGTCATTTGCGTTTAATGTTGTTTTGTTGCATTCAGGATCACATTCATGTGTGTACTTTATATAACTGCATTCTTTTAAGAATTCATAGTTCTGTATAAAGAACACGCTTGTTTTTGCCACTACCCAGTTATACAGATTTAAATTCTACTGACAAAAAAAATTTCTTGCACAAAGATCTAAAGTTAAAGCTACAGTAAGGGACTTTAAGCTTGTGTTGATATTTGCACTTGCTGTGGGGGGGGGGGGGGGGGTCCAATTATAGTGTAAATAATACCTAAAATTTTCATCCTGGTAAAGTATATCCCTCAGAAAAAAAAAAAAAAGAAAAAAAGTGAAGTCACAGTATTATCTTCTTCTCTTTTGTTTCTGGTGTGAATACAGAGACACCGAGTCTTAATTTGGGTGTGTTTATTTACCTGTTAAAATCTCCCAACTGGTGGCTAAGCCTAAACTTGAAGCCGCTGCGGAGCTACATGGACATGTTGATTAGTAATTAGCTGCACCTGTTGTATTGCGTCTATACATCAGTATTGTCCATGGACTTTAGTTCAAATATTCACAGCTGGGTGCTGTAACCTGCTGGGTTGAGCGTTCATGTAATGGCCCAGCACAGGAGAGCCAACTGTTCTAGCCAGGACTCAGCTGTTCACTAACATCTGAAGGATACAGGACATTTCTCTGAGGACAGCAATGTGAGGATACTGGCCAGGGAAGACTGCTGGTTTAAAGGAGGTGTCGAGGAGGCCATCTTTGTCAAACTGGAGAAACCATCCTTGAACAGAGGCGATGGACTAAAGCACTTCTTATCCTCAACTTACAATTCAGCTTTGGATTCCTTTCAACAACAATTGTAACAACACTTTTGAGGGCAGCCCTTCAGGTTAAACCAGGTCAACAACCCTGCTAACAGAGGCTATAAATTTCCAACTTTGGCCCCAGTCACTTTAGAACTGAAGAAGCCTTTTGGAGGAGAGGAGGAACATCTTTAAGAACCTCAAACGAAAAATTGCCCTTTCAACGAAGAAAGACGACACAGACTACAATAAATTCAGTCATATTCACATATAAACATCCAGTAAAGTCTCTGCCGTCTGTTCAAAACACTTCATAACACTTCCATAGGATCATACACACACAGGCAAACATAAGCTGTCATTTTAATGTGTCACTTTCCAATATCTGCCAATAATTACATCCACAGATAAAATACTGGAGTGAATTTACATATATGCCAATAGTTACCCTGTTAATTAACCTTTTAAGCTATTTTCTGCTAAGACCGATCCTACGCCTATTCTATCTTGTCTCCCTATTGCTCATTTGTCTTGCAGCACCTGACATTTAGATCGAACCTAAGAGTGACTGGATGATTTGTACCTCACACCTTCTTAGCTCCTAATATGGCTCCTTCACTCTGTACAGAAGCTTTAAAGCTCCTGTTAGGGACTCTTAGTCTGTGTCATCTCTGGCGCCCCCTGTGGCCTAAGTGGTATCTCATGATTCTCTGCTGATTTTGCTGTGCATATGTAAAACTAACAAAAAAGTTTGATTTTTAAGATGTATCAAGTGTTGCCATGGGAAGTTTGAAACAAATATGACGTAGAAGCGTGGTCCCTGTGTGAGTAGTCGTTGCTCATTTTATAATTTGCTTTTGTCACTCATAAAAAGGAATTACTGTTTCAGACCACTTTATGAGCAATTAAAACTCCTCACAGGAGCTTTAATTTGAAACTACTTATTACTTACTTTACAGAGAGAACAACAGAAAATGCATTAACCTTATTTGGCTGGAAGACGTTTGCTGAATGTGGCTTTACTCAAAGTCACTTTTTCTTTTTCTTTTACTATATTAAAGAATAGATGAAAACAAAAAATGAAATAAAACACAAACAGCTTTCTATAACTTTGCAGTTTATATCCCATTTAATGTAAAATCTCTGTTAAGTTCAACAGAGACTCTAAGAGCAGATTTTGTCTCTGAAATAAAAAATAAAAAAAGATGTTTGTTTTAGTATTTTTAGTTTAACACCTGAATATTCTTTACGGCTGAGCGGAGGGACAAAGTTTATCACTTTATGACACCGGAGAAAAGGAGAGAACAAAGAGGAAAGAGCGAGAAGAGAAGGCGGAGGCTGGGAGGAGGAGGTGGGGAGCTAAACGCGGCGTTTTTGGCACGGAGGCTTGATCCGTGTTGCGGCTAAGCTGAAAACGAAGCTGACATGACCCAGAGTGAAGCAGGTAAACAGGCCCAACCTGCTTTGCCTGGGGTGACCATCTGGCCGTGTCTCATGGCGAACCAGCCCGCAGGATGCACAAATACACACACTCAGACTCACACTCATGCTGGTGTACCTGGTGTCCCCTCTCTTTTTGTTTTTGTCTCTCAGAGGCTGACATGCTTTGGCTGCGAGCGACGGGAGGCATCAGGTAGGGAACAAGCAAAACAGGTATCCGTGCACACACACACACATGCACACATATTCATACAGACGACATATGGTGATCGGGCACTGCGTTGTAGTCCTTAAGTGGTGCTAACTTGACCCGAGGCGAGAAAGACAGAGAGGGACTGAGAGAAAGAAAACGGCAGCGAGGAGGAGGAGGAGGGGGGTTGGTAAAAACTGTTGCAAATTATTGATGCACCGTTACAGATACCTGCTGGCACAACACGACACTCTGTCTCTGCCTGTCACACACTCACACACAAAGTGCAAACATATTTCAGCTCCTAACTTTGCTTTATTCCTAAAAAGCCTTCACACTGTCAAGTTTTGATTTAAAGCAACCTATCATCCTTACAAGTCGCCTCCAAAAAACTCTAATTAAAATTTATTCTGCCGCCATCAGCGCCTCCTTCATTATGCAGAAACAAAGGAAGGCTCTTTGAAAGAGAGCAGAAGAAAGGCTCCTCCGCTGTTATGTCTGTGGCCTTTGCCAGGGACAGCATGTATTGTGATGTTTCGCTCCAGATAAAATATTCATAAAAATGAAGGGAGCAAAGTTCCAAGGATGACAGGAGGGAGGGAGGGCGGAGAGAAAAAGTTAATGAAAATGAGTAATCAAATTCGCTATCTCCTCCTTTTTTATTGAAAATCCTTTTTTTTAGTTAATTAGAGCCTATTACTATTCTAATTGGCTACGTCTTACACGTCCAGTTCAGTAGCGTCATTATGGAGCTATTAAAGAAGATCCAGCGAGACGAAGGAACAGAGAAAGCATAATCAACCAATCAATTAGGATCTTTGAGGAAAATGAGCTTTGCTACATTATCACGTTTGATCTCATGTCCTTGCTGTGGCTGCAGAGAGTCATTTTTCTCCCTGTTTTAAAGTGGAAAAATCAGCTAAACGTCCAAAGTCTTTCTGTACAATGATGATACGTACATGCAATTTTCTTTATCTAGTTAAACACAGGAACTGCGGACCTTAAATGCACATCTAAGTGTTGACTGATCTCCTTTTGTTCCACATTTTGTGCAACACAGATGTAAAAAAAAAAAATGATTAAATGAAATTCAAATTTTTAGAGAATATGCATTTTATCTCCCTTTGTTTTATCAAGTCCACAAACAAAGGATGGATACTGACATCCATTCACACAAGTTGTCCATCTCTGTTTCTTTAAACCTCTGCTGTTATTTAGCTTCAGCGCTGTGATGTCTGCAGCTGGATAGGTGCTAATTAGCAGCTTTATATTCAATTCAGCCAAGACAGAAAGAAAGAAAGAGGACAGGACCAGAAAGAGGAGGAATGTAGTCGCTACATGTAGAGGAGTCCCATTAATGCCAACATCTGATGTTAAAATTCACCTTTTCCTACTCTGGCTTCTTTTGCCGTCTCAGAGTTTCAGAGCATCTTACCGATAAAAACCAAATCCTTGTTTAAACTTTTGTCTCGGCTTGATTAAAAAACTCAACCGAAAATATGTACCACAGTGGTGGACAATAACAATGTAATTTTACTTGACTGTACTTACATATATGTTTGTTTGAGTATCTGTTAAACTGTATTTATACTATAGTACTGTAGAGGGCTGTGTTTTAGGGAAACATTACTTTTACTTTGCTACACTTGGAGGACAAATATCACACTCTAAACTCCACTGTATTTCTATCAATGCTCTTTGTTTGTTTCCAGTTTTGTTTTGAAGACAGCTGATGATTTTTTTTTTCTTTTCAAAAATCTACACCGCTGTACTGACTTGTCACATGAAAAATATTAGGACACACAACTGAGTAATTCAAGAGTTCTTGAATGGTTGTCTAGAGAAAGAGGATGACCTGTGTTAAGCCTGACTAACAGTGTGTTTGATCTAGAGTAGTTTTTGAAGTAGTTTGAATACTAATACAGAAAGTTAAAGTACTCCAAAATTTGACTCAAGAAATAATTTTATCAAACAGCTTGCATTTGTATTTGGCTAAGAGCGTCTACACTGTGTCTCAAATGAAAAAGATGTCTACTTTATCTACAAGCTAACACTGACCTGCATTGGCTCTGGCCTCTGAGGTGTACAGACTGTGACTGACCCCTCTCACTCTAGATATTTGATTTTTTCCCATATCTGACATTCTAATATATTCAAACTCACCCCACCCTTATGGATACAGAGTCTCTCGCCTGTACTTGAATCTACAAGTGACTATTTTTATGACTTTATTTTTGTTACAGTAAGAGACACTGAAGTCAAACAACATTTGACTCTACCATAAACTCAGAAACATGGTCACTGCTTTATTTCTAAGATTCTCTGAATGACTGAAGCTGAGGCTGCTGAGAGGTTTTTGCTGGCACCCAGACTTTTCACAAACATGTGGTGGTACATGATGACAGATCTTTGGATGCACAATTGAATTGGTGGAAATGAAGGAGAGATAAACACTGTGCAGAATTTCCATCATATTATACAGTGTGTCCAAGTATGTCAAATGTTACAAACATAAAAATGAAATATCCAAATATGTCTTTATGATAGATCTGAAAACATAGAGACTCGGTATTTCGCCACAAATCTGTGTAATAACACCTGATGAGTATGTTTTTTTTTTACAATACGACATCACTGCTTTTAAAAGATCTGGAAAAAAATATCTTAATTCCACATCAGTATTTAGGAGATCAGATATGATCAAGATATTGCATTTTGCAAGGCTGTGGTCAGACAATAGCTAATATTATGTTAAGGTCATACTTCTCCAGATTTTAGACATTTTTGCACAGTGTTTTGCTACGTTCCCACTTGCTCCTTTCTTTCCCAGTCCATTTCCAACACTTTGAGATACTTCCTGACAGCCGATATATTGAAGCTCTAGTAAGTTGCATATAATTAACAAGTCACCATATCAGCTGTAAGCCTACATATCGCCACACATTTTTATAAACATCAGTTTAAGAATCAACTTCTTGAACTTGAATCTGCTGATTTGCACCCACCTCAGGCGACTTTGTGCTCATTCCTGCACAAACTGTTCAGCTCTCATGCTGCGAGCTACACGTGGAATAAGTGATAAACGTTTGGTCTTTTTATGATGCTGTATTTTAGTTTCCTGACTCTTTGAATTATGTTTTCTATCTTCATTCCCTGGACTTGTAAACAGACTGTACTGAACCTGTCTCTGATTTTTATTCAGATTTAAAACATGTTGAGTCAGGGTGTTGACATTTTGCAAACTTGACATTTCTGAGCAGATCTCTGAACTTTTTTTTTGTTTTTTTTGACACACTGATGTATCTACAGTTACCTAATAATGTCTGCCAGTGGCAAAGTAATCTTGAAACTGAAGAGTCATAAATGACGGAAGCTGCTTTTCACACTTTGCATGTCTCTATGTTGTTAATAATGTTTTTTTCTGACACAAAATATGACATTGATTTTGAAGTTTGGGTGTTACAGTGAAGGCTGTAACACCCCGCTGCCTCTGTTGGAAAGCCCCTCTCTCTCCTCTCTCATTTCACACCCACACCGCTGTCTGAGGACAAAGTGGAACCTGGACTAAGGACAGAGAGGATATTATTTGGCGAAGGTGATGAATTATTAGATGTAGGTCACCAAAGTATCAGATTAGAAGGAGCCAATGTTCACTTGATATTTGCTCTCCATTATAATGATAAAACCTACAAGGTCAAATTTGGACTTAAGCTGAAGTATGGCAAGTTCTGCAGCTCCTCATACACATTTGGAACAGATTGAGGGAGAGATAGAATTTAAACAGAGAGATGGGGGAGAGAATCATAATGATTTAAGCAATAAATTCTCTCTCAGTCGGCCGAGCAGCAGCGGCAGCTACAGAATCTGTAATTATCCTTTGAATTCAATAAAGGCGAGGAAGAACAAAGAGCCAGGAAAACAGTTCACTGGTAAGTAAAGCGGTTTTGTGAATCGCCACTACAGCGGTACAGGATAACACCAGAGATAATAGCTTCTTCTTGTGTTTTTTTTCTTACCTGAAGAGCAACTTCACAGGGGTTCCACTGTGTTCGGAGGCAGAATCGATAACACTATCAAAGGGCAGAATCTCCACCTTAATGAAAGGAAAGAAAATACTGCAGGCTACAGGCGCTCAAAGACCACTAGAGATCTATGTGTATCAACACGCCTGAGACTAAATATGAAATCAATTCATTACACCCTTTATTTCTTTCGCAAACACTGTCCGGCGCTGAGATAACAAATTTACCTGCTGCTGCCTTTATTTTCCCTCTTCTTTCATTCTCCCTTTTTTCTCTTTCTCCCTCCTCTCTCTCAATTAATGGAGAGACAAGCAGTGGACACTTTCCAGAGACAGAAGCAGCATAAATAGATTAAATTGCAGAGGAGATTATAATTTATCATTTCTTTATTAAAAAGTAATGCGGGCGAATTAACTTTGAATTAAATTCTATTTGCATGGCATTACTGGAATCATCTGTGTAAATGGCTTAAAATCCCAAATGGGACATTGTTCCCTCCAACAGTATAATTGTAGAGAAAGAACTTTTTTTTTTCTCTTTATCCAGGAAATTATAAAAGACCAGGAATTAATCTGAAACTATTGGAACAGTGTGAGAGGTGAGACTTTAATCATGCCGTGCAAAAATATCATTATACTCTTCAAGAATAGTGGAGATATTGGAGCTCTGTGTGTTCAGAAACTTTATGAGGGTGTCCTATTTTAACTAAAACACAGAAATTCAACTCAGATCGAGACGCTTTGTGTGTGTGTATGTCAAATAAAACAGTTTAGACCATGGCCTTTCACCTGTTTTTAAGAATAAGGTGCCCATAGCATCAGGTTTGCACATGCAGAGCTCAGGAGTGAGGAAATCAAAACATGCAGCTAAATGTGTGATTATAGTTTGACGTTTCGGTCTTTATAATTGTGTCGTACACTCAGTTATATGCCCAACTGCATGTTCCTGCGTGACACCATGAATGAACACAGTCCAGGATCGGAGTGCATGTGGGTCTCATTACAGGAGTTGTCTACAAGACACTGATAACTGGACCATGCTGTCGTCTTGTCCGGGCTTTTAAGACAAAACTGTTCAAACAGAACAAACCTAAAGTTTTTGTTCACCTGGTCAGCGCAGTAGTACAGATTTTTTAGTAGCTATTTCACCGAACGATAACTCTGAAACCATGAAGAAAATGGGACTAAGTTTATAAGTCTGTTTTCTTATTAAATTTTGTGTGATCCTCCAGCCTCAATGGTCTGAGGCCATTACTAATTATACTACTACTACTACTACCACTACTACTACCACTACTACTATTTCTACTATTTCTACTACTACTACTAATAATAATAATTATTATAATTATAATACAATTTATTCATACCAATTTTTCAAACAGTCACGAAGGGCTTCACAACATAAAAAGAGAACTAGAAACTAAGGACAACAAAACTATCTGCAAAAAGGAACAAGTTTCAATTCAATAAATGACGAAACTTAGACTTGTTAAAATTTAAACACGTTTAAAGTTAAATAGTGAAGACGTAGTTAAAACTCATAACCAGTAAAATATGAAATTATGATTGATAACTTAAGTGTTATGCTTATAAAAATGAGTTTTGAAATGTGCCTTAAAAGAGGTACTATGTAATTTAAACCCCTCATATTAGTCATCAAAAAAGTTATGTCATTCATTGGTTTGAAGGTGTTACCTGAGGTGAAAAGGTGACATGGTGAGTCTGATGAAGTCGGTTGTAAGTGGGTGTCAGTGGCATTGAAGGGGTCAGACAAAGACCGTCAGAGGAGCGGGGACTGATCCTGAGTGAAACAAAGAGTCCACATTTTGTTAAAACTTCAAATAAACTATGTAGTTTGTAATCCAGGTATAAACACACAGTCAAATAATTCCAAATAGCAAAAATGACTCTACACATCATGTCAGATCAATCTGCAGGAAGAAGTCCAGCATATTTCCTCTCTGCCTGTTGACACTGTGGCAGAAAATTTGAGCATGTTATAGCGGTAAACTTTGTGTTTTCAAGATTTGGATTCTGTCTTTGGAGTGGCAGATAAATAAGTTCCTTAAAGGGCACAGTGTTAATTTTTATAACTTATCTGCAACAAGTGCGCCTTTGGTACAGAGTCAACATTACTTGTTGATAACAAACACACTGCCAGCAATCTGGGCAACCTCAGTTTAATATTTAATTTATGCAGTTGTGCAGCTGTTACTGTTAATAGATTCATGTCAAAGCTTGACTTGTTCTAGTTTGGAGACATGTTAAAGAATATCAAAACATTCTGTGAAAATGATTACCTATAAATCACTGAGGATGAGGATGTAACTAAGAGCACAGTTAACCAGATGTGTAGTGTGCCTACACAGGGACGTTTCATTGACTTGTGGGCATCAAGGACAGATCTTGGACCCCCTTTCTCTACCCAAAAAAAAAAGGAGTGAAAGAAAAGAAATGTACTGGAAAAGAATCTAAAAAAGTATAATTGTAAAAAAGTATCAGCAGGGACAGCACAGCAGACTGAACATCGACAAACTGAGGTAAAGAATTCAGATATAACAAGTTTAAGAGAGTGAAGCATTGAGGTTTCAAACATTAGTACAATCTCAATATCATTTTTAATAAATTATCTGACTTAGTTTGGAGACAGAAAACATTCAGTCTAAAATTAAGTGACTTTTTTTGGACTAAAATTATAAAAGACAAAACTTGGACCAA